CTAGCTTCTGAAAACTTTAACAGGGGATAAAGCCTATGATGGTTGATGGACGATTGCAAAATCAGTAACATCTATTAACTCCCCATTCCCCACGCCCAACTAGCAAAACAGCAGAATGTCTCTGGGGTTTATCCAGTTCCCCAAGGATTAAACAGTTCTTAAAGTGTTCGGGCTGCGAACCTTAAGGTCAGCGGTTCGAAACTACCAGCCGCTCCGTGGGAGAAAGATGAGGCTTTCTACTCCTGTAAGGATTTATCAATTGCCTTTTAACTTGGGTCAATTACTTCCAAGTCCTATGGAGCCACTGCACCCCATGACTATAAGCCATAATGGAAGCAAATTCAGGACATGGTGGTCTGTCTTCACTAGCTACTCTATAGGAGAAAGATGATTCCTCTGCTGTACAAAAGGTTTAAAGCCTTGGAAACCCTGTACAGAGTTGTTATGAGTCAAAACCAACTTCATGGCACTTAATCACAACATGGCTTATAGCTATTCTGTGAGTTCAGTTCAGCCATTTGTATTTCTTTCTATGATTGTTTAGAGTCACCCTTCAAGTTTAGCTCTAGCAATAGGTGCTAAGTAAATAGATGTCTTAGAAATTCTGATTGCCTCAATTATTTTTCCACGAAACCTAGGTTTTAACGTAGTTGCCTGGCTAGAAAGTAGACCTTGATAGCCAAAAATTGGGCAATGACCTTTTTGTTTAAGTAGACTATGTTCAGTCTCATGGTTTAGCCTTCTGGGGAAGGTGAGTGTTCTGGGCGTGTGAGAGACAGACAGAAATAAATTCATCAGTTTTATGTTTCCAAAACATATTGTTATTATAAAACAATATGTTTTATAAGAACAGGTCTTGATTCTAATATGCAAAGTCTGTAATCTAACATGAAATTGTTGGTTCTCTTGTAGACTGGCGGAAGGAGCACTTTCAGATTTGTGAGTGACTGGAAAGATCTTTCTGAGAGTTCCTCTTGTCTGGGAGCTTCTGGCCTCTTCTTCGGTTCTCTGTGGTGACACAGATGCAAACATCACTGGTAGCAGTGGGTGGGTTGTGGAGGGGGTAGTCATGTAGCTGAAGTTAGAGGGTGTGATGATGTTGGTCCAAACTGGTCTTTAAAGGTACTGTGATGGATTTAACTCCCAAATCAATCTTTTGGTTCCTTATCCTGCATGGAGGGATGTGGACTGGAATCACTAGCTCTGGGTTCAGGGTGCTTAGCCCTCTCATCATGGCACTAAGTAGGTCTGAGGGAAGGTGGTTTTGTGTCTTTATTATAATTCAGGGGAGGGGCTTACATGATTTGCTAACTCTCTTTACAGGGTCTGCCACTCTGGATCCACATTCTGCCCATCGCAATCTTGACCTCTCACAAGAAAACATGAGTGTGACCTGGAAGAATAACTGTGAAGTCCTGGACAATAGATGCAGTGTGTTGGGCACCAAGGGCATCATGTCAGGGCAATATTACTGGGAAATAAAAGTCAGTGATGAATACAACAGCGAGTGGGCTGTGGGAGTTTGTAGGGAAGATGTGCGAAGGAATGGGTGGTTCAGACAGTGCCCAGAAATAGGGTTTTGGGTTGTAGAATATGTATACAATTGCTATTATGCCTACACTACTCTATATACAAGAACAACAACAGCTTATACATACCGATGTCTTAAAAAGGATTCCCGCCACATAGGGGTTTTCCTGGACTACGATGGTGGAGATGTCTCTTTCTACAATATGACTGATGGGTCTCATATTTTGTCATTTTCTCAGATTTCCTTCTCTGGGACCCTCTTTCCATATTTCATGATTAGGTCAGGAACCCCATCCCTCACTATCTGTTCCATGGTAGATGGGCCCAAGGGAACACCTGTGCATCTTAACAAATTGCCTTCTTCTTTGAATGAGCAAATGAGTCCTCCAGAAGAGGGGTTGAGATCTGGCTCTGGTGGTGATGATGTTTTCCCAGGGGTTGAATGCCCATTACTCCTCTCTGGCCCCAGGATTGTGCCCCCATAAGGACCTATCTTTGTCTGGGTCCCCTCATGATGGCTCTATTTGGAACTTCAGACTTCCCAAAGTGAAAGACTTTGAGGTGAGCGCTGGATGGCACTGGGAGTCATGTGGGTGACTCAGAATTGTCAATTCATGCCTTGTGTTCCTGTAGCAAGAAGAAAAAAACTGACTTTTATTTGAGTTGGTTCAGTGTTGGTGAAATTTGACTGTGGAAATTTATTTTACTTTGGTTGTGAAAAAGTACTCTGAGCATTTTTTACTGTTTGTATATGAAAGGAGAGGGTTTGAATCCTCTGCAATGTAGTTTGCTTTATCCAACTGGACTTTGTACTGAGTGTGGGACCCTACCTCTATTCTGAGGGGCCTAGGCAATTTGATTAGGATGTGTTCACCTTCAGAAATTTCCTGGGACATGGTGGGTTGGACTTGTAAGATGAAAGCATCGAATATATTTTCATATACTTATTCTTGGATAGTGGAAACACATCTCTTTTTCCCAAATCATCTATAAAATTCTCCTACTTGTGAACACACTGTGTGTGTTAATTCTCGAAATTAAGAAGAAGGAACTGGGTTCCTGTTTTGGTCCACACTAGGTGGAAAGAAGAGAACTGTAACAAAATGAAGATGTAAATGGCCAGGAGAATATTCTAGAGCAGAGAATTGCAGAGAGCCTTGCCATGAGCATTGTCTCAGTTATTGGTGTTAAAGGAAAATGGAAAACCTCAGTATCCCCAAAGGGACAGGACTGCTGAGTACTGAGACCTTTCAGGAATGAAGGTGTAGTCCCTCTACCAGGTAACGAACTCTGAGGTTCTGGCTGAGGGTGGGGAAACAAGGAAAAGGAAGTAGAAGAGAGAAGTCAGAGATATCAACTCTGGAACAAGTTACATACCAAGAGCTGTAATAGCTTTCCATATTTTATCTTTGGTTCTCAAGTGTATGTGCTTATTTGTTTACATAAACCATTTTCTTCTTCTTTTTCCTGTTTCAATTTATTATTTTATATACAAGTTGGTGGATGCTATGTTAATTATATAGAATATGATAACAGAATACTCACTGAAACTGTAATTGAATTTAAGGAGTTAATATTTTAGCAGTGACTGTGACTTGTTTTGGAAAATGGATAAGGACTCTTCACTTGTAAGGATAGCTTTGTCTTAAGAGGTGACAACTGAATAGTTTTGTTGCATGAAAGTTCAAATGTGTGTAAAATATTGTATGTAAAATATTATATGTGTGTAAAATACTGAATCTGAGTAACCAAAGGAGTAGACTCTGCCTATTATCAATACATTTCCTCTCAGTTGCAATTTATCATGTCTTTGATGTGCTGTTTGGTATTGCACCTCAACCCTGTTAACATTTCTTCTTTGTCAGTGGACACAAAGTGGGACCTTGTCAGTACACTGGAGATAACATCCCAGTGTACTGGGATAACAGTGATTTCTTTTTCTGGTTCTAGGCTTTTCTTGTTTATCCTGTGATGTAGGGCCAGTGGCATGATGTAGGACCTGTGATGTAGGTCCAGTTTTGTTCATCTTTTGGTGAATTAGACTGGCATTGCAGTATGCTGCCTTCTGGGAGTCTTAGTAGCACCCAAGTAGGTGTATTTTTAGGGAGGTTTTTTGGCACCAATTTTGATCCATGGCCAAACTTCATTATACATTGGGCTTGAGTCCATCTTTTCCCAATTAATTATGAATGTCAGTCTTGTCAGGATGCCCTCTCCCAGGTTTCTTCCTTCCATCATACTCTACTTCAGCTCTAGAGGAGTTGGGTATGCCCTATATTTAATCTCTTTTAGTAGTTAAGAACCTCTTAGTAGTAAATATATATTTTTAATCCATTGGTTGTTCAGTGATGTGCTGTTAACCCATATATATATATATATATATATATTCTAGTTTTCTTTCAATTTATTAAATTTTAGTTTCATTCCACTGTGGCAAGAAAAGATACTTTTGCTTCTTGTAAAATTCAATGGGACTTGCTTTGTGTCCTAGCAGATGGTCTGTCTTAGAGAATGGTCTATGTGCCCTGTAAGTGAATGCATATTGTACTGTTTGTTGATATTTTTTTATATTAAAATTTTATCTTTTCAATTGACTGATATGGTTTCTGTCTCCTTACTGGACTTGGAATGATTGTTGTTGTTCAGGTTCACTCCCCTAACAGTGTCATGGGAAATATATTCATTGGGGTCCTTGTCACGTTATAAGTACTCTCTCTATTCTCTTTGTGTTAATATAAGGTGCTCTGGTGATTCTACGGGCCAGTGCTTGACTGCTAACTGAAAAGTTGTTGGTTTGATCCCACCACAGCTCTGTGGGAGAGAAGACCTGGCAATCTTCTGCTATAAAGATTAAAGCCAAGAAAATACTATATGAGCAGTTGTACTCTGTCCTATAGAATTGCTATGAGTGGGAATTGACCAGATTGCACAAAACAACAAAGGCATGAACACCACCATGTGTTAATATAAGTTACCTTGTTATTGTTGTTAAGTGCTGTCAAGTTAGTTCTGACCCACAACAACCCTGTATAGGGTTTTCTAGAAGCTACTGGTAAGCTTGAACCACCAACATTGCAGTTCAAACCAACTTTGCAGTCTGCACATTGACCTATAGCACCACATCAGGACTCCATAAATTTCCTACTTGGCACACATTATTTGTGACTCCTTACCGAAAGTTTGGTGGCTGGAACCCACCCACCAGTACTGTAGAAGAAAAGGTCTGATGATCTGCTTCCATTAAGATTCCAGCCAAGGAAACCCTATGGAGAAGGGTTTCTACTCTACAACACATGGGGGCCACCACAGGTCAGAGTCAACGTGATATCAGCTAACAATTATAACATGTTGTTATATTATCTGCTATATGTATCCGCTTTTTGTTTAGGTTGTAACTTTGTGACACTGTATTACTTTTGGATGAGCTATGTGCATACTGAGCCCTGGATTGGCACTGTAGGGTAAACATGGACTGCTAGTCAAAAGATCAGAAGTTCAAATCCATCAGACATTCTTGGATACCCTATTCAGGGTTGGAACTGATTTAATGACACATAACAACAACAGCAGCAACATGGGCATATTAGAAGGCCTAGTGGTACAGTGGGTTAAGTGTTTGGCTGGGAACTGCAAAGTCATCTGTTCAAACACAGCAGTCACTCCTTGGTAGAACGATGAGGATGCCTGCTTCTGTAAAGATTTATAGTCTCAGAAACCCTAAGTTTTACTCTCCCCTATAGGGTCACTGTAAGTCAGAATTGACTTGATGGAGGTGAGTTTGATTATTTTGTTTATGGGCATAATCCTTTGACATAGAAAAGAATGGTTTGCAGAGAATATGATGTTATTCACATGAGTGGTGGTAGTGGTTATGTGTCGTGGAGTCGGTTCCAACTCATAGCGAGGCTGTAAATATTGAGGAGAGCAGAAAGCCTTATCTTTCTCTGGCGGAACCACTGATGGTTTCCATCTGCTGACCTTGAGGTTTGCAGACCAATTCGTAACTACTATGCTACCAGAGTTCCTTCCATGAGCAGTCATGGTATTTTTAGACAATTGCCTAAGTATTAGCAGAATGATTAAAGTCATCACTAATGGTAGAGTTTTTTGTTTGTTTGTTTGTTTTGTTTTTAAGGTTTTTATTGTGGATTGAGTGAACGTTTACAGGGCATATCATCAGTTTTACATTCAACAAATCATATACTTTGTTTCATTACATTGATTATAATCCCCTCCATGTACCATCAGTTAACAGTATTTCTCTCTATCCACTTCAGCTTTTTAAAAAATAACCAAAACAAAACAAAAAAACCATCACACAGGCATATATAATAATTTACATCTCCAAAGGACACATTCTGCAAGTCTGCTCCTGGCCACCAGCTCTTAGTCCCTCTGTTCTTAGTCCATGAATATAGAGTCCTCAGCCGCTATCCCTCTCCATACCCACATCTCTGCCTCCATCTCTGGTGCTACTGCTTCTCTGGATAAGGGCCTGCATTCTGCTTCTGCAGTCCTCTGTTGATGGTCTTAGGGTCCTCTGTTTCTGGACTGTAACATTAACCACTCCCCTTTTTTTGTTACAAAACTTCTGCCTTTACAATTGTGATAGTTGTGTTTAGTTATGATAACAATTATTCACTATTGAAACTTACGAATCTTATCCCCATCTCCTTTCACCAGACCCATCTAGACAAGATGACAGCTATTCAGTGGGGACTCTTTCTTTCCCCCCACACTCTTAAACTAAACTCCCTCTTGAAACCTTGTAAGCCAGTCACTTTGTGCCTTTATTGCCCCCTCATTTTAGGTAGCCAATGTCTAAGTTGCCCATCCCTATCTACCCTGTGCACAGAGCAGATAGCATTGATACTTGATTTGAAGACTCTTTCCCTCTCTGTTGGTATTTAGAGTAACTACCGCTCAGGTTCATCATGAAGATGTATCTTCTGTCACTGTAGCTGTTCCAGTCTGCTTATCCTTTCTAGTGGGAATGTCTCACCTCATGAGGTTCTAGATGGGACTCAGGATTTCACCTGAGGTCCTATACTACTCTGTAAAGGCTTTGCAGGAGGACTATTTCACTGGGCAAGTTGTAGAACTCCTTTTAGGTATTCCAATCTGTTATAGGCTGAAGACGGGCTTACAAGGTTTCTCTAATCATGTTTCCGAGCATTCCTTTTTATCCCACTCAAGTGTTTATTTTACAATAGTAGGCAAAGGAAACTAATATTCATAAGGCAGTCAAGCATTTTAGTATTATTTCCCCTCTTCAAGCTATACCTAGATCCCTGTATCCCAGAGCCCTGTTGTTCC